GACTGAGTCATCTGACCAATCAGAAAAGATAGAGTCATCTGACCAATCATGGCACAGTACGGCCATCTGACCAATCAAAGCTGCCTGACCAATCAGAACAGACTGAGTCATTTGGCCAATCAGAACAGACTGAGTCATCTGACCAATCAGAACAGACTGAGTCATCTGACCAATCAGAACAGACTGAGTCATCTGACCAATCAGAGGAGACTGAGTCATCTGACCAATCAGAACAGACTGAGTCATCTGACCAATCAGAGGAGACTGAGTCATCTGACCAATCAGAACAGACTGAGTCATCTGACCAATCAGAAAAGATAGAGTCATCTGACCAATCATGGCACAGTACGGCCATCTGACCAATCAAAGCTGCCTGACCAATCAGAACAGACTGAGTCAACTGACCAATCAGAACAGACTGAGCCATCTGACCAATCAACCGGCCAATCAGGCCAGAGTAATGTTATCTGATTAATCAGTACAGAATCTTCGTTACCTTAGTTTCATGAAACCTGCTCTAATTCATACTCTAGTAGACGTAAATAACGGGGACATCAGACCTGCTTGCCGTTGTGTGTGACGGAGGACAGGATGGTCCTGAGTGTTTTAAAGCCCATGGCGATGTCCAGCAGATGAGCCGCAAAGAAGAAGTTATTGTAGTGTCCCAGGATGGACATGGTGGTGTACCAGACCAGATACAGGAACGACTGAAACACACACACATTACAATATTCACACACATAATACACATGAGGTCATAACCTCAGCACAGCTAGATTTGTGCGCAGATTTCACTCTGCATGAAGTTACCATGGGTTACTGAAGAGCGCAAACTGAGCACAAAGTGGGCGAAGCCAAACATCACCATCTTGTCAGTCTGTCATCATGCATCATTGCCGGGAGAGCAAAAATGGCCAAAGAGGCGGGATGTGGGCGGAGCTACAAATGTCTTTCATTATGTGAAATGCTCAACACTTCACGGAATGTTACTCATTTGTGTTCTGGATACATGTACTTGCTTGTATATAGGGTTATGCTCTCACTGGCCACTTTATTAGGTACACCTGTCCAACTGCTTGTTAACGCAAATGTCTAATCAGCCAATCACATGGCAGCAGCTCACTGCATTTAGGCATGTAGACATGGTCAAGACAATCTGCTGTAGTTCAAAGTGAGCATCAGAATGGGGAAGAAAGGGGATTTAAGTGACTTTGATCGTGGCATGGTTGTTGCTGCCAGACGGGCTGCTCTGAGTATTTCAGAAACTGCTGATCTACTGGGATTTTCACGCACAACCATCTCTAGGGTTTACAGAGAAAAAGAGGAAATATCCTGTGAGCGGCAGTTTTGTGGGCGCAAATGCCTTGTTGATGAGGCCAGAGGTCAGAGGAGAATGGCCAGACTGGTTCCAGCTGATAGAAAGGCAACAGTAACTCAAATAAGCACTCGTTACAACCGAGCTCTGCAGAAGAGCATCTCTGAACACACAACACGTCCAACCTTGAGGCGGATGGGCTACAGCAGCAGAAGAGCACACCGGGTGCCGCTCCTGTCAGCTAAGAACAGGAAACTGAGGCTACAATTCACACAGACTCACCAAAACTGGACAATAGAAGATTGGAGAAACGTTGCTGCTCTGATGAGTCTCCATTTCTGCTGACACATTCGGATGCTCGGGGCAGAATTTGGCCTCAACAGCATGAAAGCATGGATCATCCTGCCTTGTATCAGCGGTTCAGGCTGGTGGTGGTGGTGTAATGGTGTGGGGGAGATTTTCTTTGGGTCCATTAGTACCAATTGAGCATCAACGCCACAGCCTACCTGAGTATTGCTGCTGACCATGTCCATCCCTTTATGAGCACAGTGTCTCCATCTTCTGATGGCTACTTCCAGCAGGATAACGCAGCATGTCATAAAGCTCAATCATCTCAGACTGCTTTCTTGAACATGACGATGAGTTCACTGCACTCAAATGGCCTCCACAGTCACCAGAGCTCAATCCAATAGAGCAGCTTTGGGATGTGGTGGAACGCGAGATTGGCATCATGGATGTGCAGCCGACAAATCTGCAGCAACTGTGTGATGCTATCATGACAATATGGAGCAAAATCTCTGAGGAATATTTCCAGTAGCTTGATGAATCTATGAAGGATTAAAGCCAATCTAAAGGCAAAAGGGGTCCAACCCGGTACTAGTGGGGTGTACCTAATAAAGTGGCCAATGAGTGTATCCTACATCAATAATGTATTTGCTGAGTTTGGTCTTTTAAAAACACAATATTAATCCACTGAACATTTGTCTTATTACTGTTGTTTATGGAAGAGGATTATTCTGTTTACCTCTTAACTATTTATAGTCCATGAATAAAAATTATACACTCAGAAACATCTTTAAAAGTAAATGGCACTGATGTAAGCTTTATATTTAATAAGCAGGGTATGAGGTGGAGTAATGTTCACAGCCTAATACTCACTACTATTGAGTACTCTAGATTTAGGTTTCAGGCTTTGCAGTGTATTCTTTTCCTCTACTTGTACTTCAGTTTTGGCATGTACTGATAAATTAACTTGAGTGTGATTCTTCCATACTCTATCCAGCAGTGGGAAACACTCACGTTATCTGTGAACACGACGCCCAGCTTCCACACGTGATACTTGGTGTCGATGGAGCTCAACCTGAAACAGCACAGCGAGCGAGAGTTCACACCGCAGCAGAGGTAAACGAGCGCAAGAATTACACCAGCAGCTGTAAATGAGGAGGGTCTGACCAGGACAGCAGTGAAGCCTCCTTAATGACCGTCTCCTCGGTGGGATTGAAGTCTAAAGCGCTTTTATCCAAACCCAGCAGCTCCGCGATCCGCTCCGCACCATACAGGTCACCGTACTTATTGATCACCTACAGTGAAAATGCAGAACATCACCAATATTAGCACACAGACACTGAGAGAGAGAGAGAGAGAGAGAGAGAGACGGAAACACACAGAGGACTGACATTACACATGAAAAAATCCTGTAGTGTTTTTAGAGCATACTGTAGATAAGAACCAGCATTTATCTGCTGTGGAGATTCTAGTTGTAATGGTAACTGAACAATCAAAGTAATTAATCTGCTGTGGTGATTCTACAGTTGCTATGTTAACATGGCAACTATAGCGATTAATCTGATTAATCTGGCGATTCTATAGTTCTCATGGTAACAGCAACAGTAGTGGTTGATCTATTTTGGTGATCCTAAAGTTGCTATGGTAACAACAACAATAGTAATTTATTTGTTGCAGAGTTACGATATAGCTGCTACGATAACACTACAACTATAGTAATTGATCTATGGTGTTGATTCTATCGCTGCTATAGTAACAGGATAATAATAGTAATTGATTGGTTGTAGTGATTCTACAGATTCCATGGTAACATGACAACTGTATTAATTGATCTGTTGTTGTGATTCTAGAGTTGCCATGGTAACAACAACTACAGTAGTTGATCTACTATAGTGATTCTACAGTTGCTATGGTAACAACAAGTATAGATATTGATCTGCTGTGTTGATTCTTTAGTTACTATCGTAACGACTCCTATAGTAGTTGATCTACTTTGGTGATTCTACAGTAGCTATGGTTACAGCAACTGTAGTAATTCATCTGTTGTGGTGATTCTACATTTACAATGGTAGCAAAACAACTATAGTAATTGATCTATGGTGTTGATTCTACGGTTACTATAGTAACAACTACAGCTGTAGTAATTCATCTGTTGTGGTGATTCTACAGTTGCTATGGTAACACAACAACTATAGTAATTGATCTGCTGTGGTGATTCTACAGTTGCTATGGTAACACCAAAACTATAGTAATTGATCTATGGTGTTAATTTTACAGTTACTATGGTAAAAGGACAAT